AAGCAGTCTCTGTGGCAAGAAGGGGTTTTCCAACCCCAGAGGAGGATCAGGTGTAAGTGAGGAGAGAGACCTTGAGGCCTGCTGACCCTTTCCAGCTTCCTTATGTGAGAGCCCCTTTGCTGTCAACCCTCATTCCACGTGCCTTGGAAGGCTGGCTACCTCTGACTACCAGAGCACGTTGGTCCCTGCCTGTGTACCACTGCCAAACACGTGGTGCTCCAAACACTGCACAGGAAATGTGGAAGGACAGATCTGAAAAGGAAGGCACATCTGCTAAATATGCCCAACCACAAGGTTGGAGAGAAAAAATACAAACCCCCAAAAGAGCACAGTGATATTTGCATATAGGCTCATTCAGCACTCCCCAGGTGCATGAAGAGGCAAGAGCTGTACCCACCCTTTCATGTGAATATGCAGCATTCACGGTAGAAATCCGAGTGTTACAAATATTTGTTGGATCTTCTCTCTAGAATTTCAATAGATATAACCCAGGGGTTTAGCTACTTGGGAAAACTCTTCAAGTTTAACTGTAGTCTTTTATACTCCTCTAGACTTCAGAAATGCACTGCTCTTGCAGCTGGTATTTTTGAGATTTGAAAAGAACTCCCTTGCTAAAAGAGCAGCTGTAGAACCTACCAACAGGAGCGGTAGCCAGATGATTAGTCCTCCTGCTTCAAGGCATTTTCAGCCCCAGTTGTGGCTCAGCTGGCTTCCCTCTACCAGGCTGCAGCCACCCTTGCAGCTCCTCTGGCAGAAAGAGGAATTATTCTCCCTTCACCTGGCAGGAGCTGCTCCCCAGGCCTCAGTGCCCACATCGACAAGACAAAGGCAAACCGCCTCGTGTTCCTGCCAATACACTTTCCTTTCTCCTCTTGGCGAAGTCAGTCCCATTATGAGATAATGAGAAGAAAGAAGTACAAGCCCGAAAAAAAATCCATCTCTGATGCGAGAATTTCAAAAGGCAGCCAGTTTCCAGAAGGCAAGAACTATTCTCCACATTAATTATCTGCAGAGGTGCAAGAAACTGGTTGACAATAAGAAGTTAGGTAATAAAAGCTCTGATTTAACTCATTAAGGTTTCTGTTATGGCTCCAGGTATGTGTAGTCTCAGTGCATGTGGAATTTTATTTATGCCTGCATTGCAACCACGTTTGGAGAGCACTGCTACAAGGCACAGAGTGAGTAAGGAAGAAATTGAAGGTAATTTTGTTCTGCACCTCAAGAGATGTGAGCCATTTCCACTATCACAGTATGCAAGCAAATATCCACCTCCCTCACAACGTAACCTCAAGCAATGTGACTGCACCCCCACAGCAGGATCATGGCCCAGGGCCCTCCCAGCACAGTAAATCTCTGCAGGTCACTCAGTGTTAGCGTTGCAATGTCGATTTCTGTCATCAGGGACTGAAGTAGGCAAGACTGACACTCTATTTTGTACCAGGTGTCTTCTGTAAAACACAAACCAGTAATCCCTCTAAATCTACGTGGTTTCTCCTCCTCCAGCTTTTTTAATGAAAAGCAGGTACGCTTCTGTGGAGTTTCCCATTTTCCTCACTTTAACTGAGAGCAGAAAATGCAACAAGGTAGTTGTGGGGTAAAATTCTCAATCAAACATTTCCTAAATTCCAGCTGTTGTAAAAATGACAACCAACACCCTCTGTCCCACTGGAAGGTAAGCCAAATTATCTTTACAGGCCATCCCCAGCAGTTTTGACCTATGTAGCTATGTTGTATCTTAGACTAATGGTTTAGACTAATTTGGGATGAAGCCTTTCTCGACAGCCAATCATTTATGTTCTAAATTGGTGGCCTCCATCTCAAACAAAATCTACCTGCCAGCACAGACATCCCACAGAACAAAGAGGAAAACCTCACTCAAATGTCAAGGTCACTCAGGATTCTTGGACACGCCAGTAGGTAGAGGAGGTCCTCAGGAGACGCAAGCTGAGATTTCCTGGGAGAGTTTTACCTTCTTGGATTTTGCCTCTCCTTGCCAAACATGAAGAGAAATCCCTACACTGGTTCTCCTCACTTGCAATTGCCAGGGCTGCCTGACCTGCTGTGTAAAGGGACTGATGAAGAAATGGAGGCAGGAGCAGGAGAGAGCAATCCTTGTGCTGGCATGTCTCCAGACCCACTTTGCTCACATTGCAGCACGCCCGTACCCTTGGGAGGATGTTCATGAGGAAAGGGCTTCCCCTTATGGGTCAGCAAATGTTGTGCCTTCTAGCCCTCCTAAGGGTTTAAATGCAGGTTTATTACAGGGGTGACATAAACTGGTCTGTCTCAGATTCTCCTTCGCCTACAGTAGATTCCCACCACTCCTTCGTGTTAATGACACACTGCTCTTTCTGTGCAAGAAGTCATTAGTGCAGTGGTGTTGGGGAGATAACTGCTGCCAAATCAAGGCCTGTGCTCACAATAACTGGTGCAAAGAGAACATAATTTTACTTCATTTTTAATGACCCAAATGCAAGCCTAAAGCTACCCGCATTCAAATGCGTTAGCTGAGCTCACCCGTTCTCCTCTAATTAGTCCATGTGTCTAGTCTCAAAAAGAAAAGAATGAATAAAACTTATGCCACAAATCAAAGGCCTCTGTACCCAGGAAAGGCTGGAGGGCAGGCACTACTCCCCATGGGTGTTCATGGAGATCACCACCATGCTGAGCTCTAGGTCCAAAAATGGCACGTGGCTTTGCGACTCCCACCTGCTCCTTTGCAGGATTTTCCATCACGTAACTAGGGTGCTAGAAGCAAATTCCTACTTGCAAAGAGCTGTTGCATGAGTTGCCTGATGATATACACCTTTTCAGTGTATGGGCTTTTACAGAGAAACTGAGGTGCTGAAGTGTTGTTGCTTCACCTTCTGTCACAGTTGATGTTAGCAGGGGTTTTTAAAACACTTGGTCTGAAATGCATCCCCTGCTTAAGTTTCCAGTCTCCCCCTTGCAACCCTGAACTTCAATTAATTTCTTAAGGCTTCCAAACTGGTTTATTCAGTTGCAGTTTTCCCTAATTAAATAATGTTCACACAGCTCAGTACATTTCTCTTCATGTACAGCAAGAGAATTTTAAACCTCTGCTCTAGCTGAGAGGGAATGGGTTAACACAATATTAAGTATGGAACTTTTCATGTTATCTCTTTTTCTTTCTCTCTCTTGCATGTATCCATCCAGAGTGTGACTACCAAAATGCTGACAAACTGCAGGAAAATTCATGTCAATTTAGTTCTCCTTTTACCATGCAAGTGATTTTTCTTGGCAAGGCCAGAAGTATTCTCTTCTCCTCATTGTTTTTAACCTTCCTTTGCTGCCTAGAACCAAGCCAGCATTGTCCCTGCAAACATACTGAAGCTGAAACTTGTGCAATATCAGCTCAATGCATTTAAGATACAAATGCCAAACTCATTCTGCAGCAAGAGCCAAATAACTTTTTTGAACAACCTGTTCGAAACTATCTGTTGTAAATGTGAACAGTACAACTTTGCCCTACGGTTTGGTGGGACAGGGGCCCTCTGAAGAGCACCGTAAGCACTTTGCAACTCTGGAAATGCTCTCAGCAGCAGAGAAGAACCATTCATATGAACCATTGTGATTCTGGTCCCTCTTTCATTTTTCCATCCCGCTCCTTCTTTTCCAATTTTCGTCATGCATTCATCACCTTTTACCTTACCCTACCTCATCCCCATACATGCATTTCCCTGACTGGTCTTTCCCCTACTCTAATTGCTGAGGCATAGGCATATGCAGCCCTTAGGTATATGGGCACCTTGAGATATATGCATCGCTTTTGGAGATGGCTGCAGTTGTTGTGTGAGACCATTTACTCACACCAAGAGGAAAGGGCAATGGTGTGGATTAGCTTTAGCTGAGCTGTGCAATAGCTGCAGGTGACAAATGAACTGTGTCTGTGAAGCAGAGCAGTGGCTGAACAGTGCCACACTCCCTTTGATGTATAGGATTAAGTGCCTGTTTTTTAAACCCTGAGAGTCTGACTGTATTTTCCAGGTCATCTCTGGTTTATACAGTGCATGTGGCTAAGTGTTCAAGTAGGCCGCTGTGGCTCTCCTTTCTCACTGGTGCTGGACTCTGCTCTCCTCCATTTCACACCAGAAATGTAACACCTCAGCACAATATCAACACACCTGACCATGGGATTACAATGGCTGGGGTAGAAATCAGCACTTCCCCTGCCCCACAACCACAGCCTGTCCGTCTTGCCCCTGTGCTTGTGCCCACAGAGGCAGCAGACATCACCTCTCAGAGGTTTCCTCCCAGCACTGCCAAGCCTCTTGTCCTGCCTCACAGCTGGCAGCTAATAGCTTCCCAGCATCTCCCCTAAAAATGCACTACTTTAGCAGTGTAATGAGCTCCCTAGCTTGAGTCTTTTACTGACTCCCCACAAATCACTGGAAGGACAAACTGCTGTTTTGGTTCATTAGCAAGTGTTTTGTAGAAATCTGTTTATATATTTGCAAGAGACCAACATGCTCATTCATACTAATGTAGGAATACTCGAACTGAGAAGCAACTTAAGCCTTCCAGCTCATCTTCCAGCTCTGCAGGACTGGTAACAGAAAGCAATTCTTCCCCCAAAGCATGGCAAATTCTGTGGCACACCAAGGACCAGACAGAGCACACAAAATAGTAGTCAGCATTTTTCTTAAAACCCCAGCTCTTGGAGCTCTGGGATTCAACAAGAAATTTAATTTTCACCTAAAACACAATGAGTGAAGCACACTCTGAGGTTTTAGCTCTTGGCACAGCAGAGGAAAACATCACCAGAAAGGCTCAGACAAATAAAATGAACCTCAATGGCACTGGCACCACTTTCAGGTCTTGTAACATTTTAAGCAGCTGTATCACAGATGTGACTCATGGGCTCTTTGTATTGAAAGGAGAAAGGTTCTGCGCCGAACAGAATGTGGGAGCAAAGACCAGGCAAAAGACTGTTAAGGATACATTGCTGTCTGACCATTTAGGAGCCACTCTGGGAGTCACACATGGACCACCCAAGATTTAAACTGTTGGGACTGAAGCGCCTTTGCAGTGGGCAGCTCCAGTGAACCCACGGGTGCCCTGCTTGGCTCCCACCACACACCACCCTCATTGTCAGACAAGATTCCCTCACAGGGTTGACCCCAGGTTTCCTATAGCAGAGTCCCAGACGCCTGGATCAAGTAATTTAATTGTGTGCAGTGACACCATAACAGCTTGAGTAGGTGCCTCCACGGTCAATGAAGGAATGCCTTGGCTTTTTTATCCTTACAGTCTGTGTGCCTCTTCATCTCATGCTCTTTATACTCCTAACACATGCCTCTTGGTCCAATGGTGATACTTTGTTTAGGGTCTTTCCACTGTTTATATGGGTTCTCTCAGACTCCCTGGGTGACTGGTCACCCCCTGGCCAGCGCAGAAGGTCCCAGTGCCCTTTGTCGGGCAAAAGGTCAGCACCAGTTTATGGCCCCTTGCCTGAGGTTCCAACACATTTCCCTCACCCCTGGCACAACCTGCAGCTCGCAGCTGCACAATGATGTGCACCTGCACTAGGTGTGTTCCTCAACAAGGACAGGACACAGGGATGCAGGAGAAGGAGCCCTAGCATTTCACTTGTGCTCTTTGAAGTTACTGACTTCAGAAGGTAGGAGCCCTTTGGCACTTCATATTTACAAATTAAAACAGGAACCATTTCCTTTGGCACCCAAGGCTGAACTAAAAGCCTTCCTTAAGGGTTTGAAGTTGCTGAGGAAGAGGAATTTTGGAAAACTTCAGGCTGGTTCTGCAGTTCTACTCTGCCAAATGATATGAATCCATCCAAGCTTTTGGATGTTCTGCATTAACACCCGGCAGCAGCTATGGGATGAAAGCTACTGCTGCAGTCCACAAAGCTTGGTGTGTCAGCTGGAACAGAGTAACAGGGAATGTTAGAACATTTCCCTTTACAGAGAAACCAAATGGCCCTCCTAGATTGAAGAGGACAGGTGAAAGGATCAGAAGTCAGGGACTACGTATGTGAAGCAGCAAAGGAGCTAGGAGGGGAAGTAGCTGCTTTAATGCCTAGAGGAAACTTGAAGGAAAAAAACCAAGATAACTTTGCAGCAGGATTTGTGGAGCATAGGGGGACATCATCAAGGTCCTCCCTGGAGACACCAGGACACTCCTAGCTGGCAGGCACAGGGGCCGGAGGTTTTTCTCCTGTATTGGGCGAAAAGGGCATAAAGATTGTTTATCTTTCTCAGACTAAGTATTTACAACCCTCTCCAACTTTCCCTACGTTTTCAGGATAGACTCTCCTTGCATAGGTGTCTGCAATGGTCTTGCTCAGCTGCATGTAAGAGCAGAGCAATCTCCCTTTCAGTTCCCAAGATTTGGGTTCCCATTACCTGCTCTAGGAGAGGGAGGACATCACACAGCAATAAGGAGACAGTGGTCCAAGGGAATTTTCTTAGCTCTTTTCTGCAGATGTGTTTTGCAGGTAGAGTTTGGTAAGCACAACTCCTAACCCACTGCTGCCCTAAGATCTGTTCATTAGCACCTTTGTGAGGGCTTTCCAAGACTGCCAGTTCTCAAGCGGCTGAGATACGGTGTTTTAATTGTATATAATTAAATACTGCTCCCTTATCTAGATTTCAAAGTTTACTGTTGGGGCTTTGGTTCCAATGCTCTCTTCCCCTCTAATTAGCTTCCTTAATCTGTGCAGCCTTGCTTCTTTCCCCACGGGGACAGGGCTCTCCTGCAGGGAAGCTTGGTTTGCATCTAATTATTAGCAAAGGACACAGGCAGAAGAAAAGCACTGGCCCTGTCCCAGATATCCCTTGTGAGCAAAGAGCCCAGAGTGGGTGGCCGCAGGGAACCTGTGAAGGTTGTATGTGTATGTATGCGCTTGGTCTTCCTGCTCTATCTGTAGGTTGCTTTGCATGCTGTCCCATCACACTTCTGTGGCAGAAGACCATGCAGGATGGGGGCCACCTGACTGAAGTGCTACTCTCATGATGGACACTTTTGCTTGGCTAGCACATAACAACAGGAGAGGAGGAGTTGGCAAGACCTCATCTGACCCAACGTGTCCTAAGAGACATTACATCTGGTATCATTTTGGGCAATGATCTTCTAAGCTGTTCCCTGCTGTCAACAGAGGTTACCCACTCCCACAAGCTCCTTCTGAGTGGACCCTCTTGTACTACAAGGAAATTTTCCTGCTGACTAATCTGAATTGCTTCTGCTGCTTCCTCAAGATCCTGAAGACACAGAGAATATCTTATTTCCCTTTACACAGCTCAAGACTTATACCTACCTTCCTTATGCCTCTTTCTAAATTAAACAGCACCAGTTGTTGCAGTTTCTCACCTTGGGTCATGTTTCTCAGATCACCAGTCATTTTATGTGCTTTCCACTGGACTTTCCTTAACCTCTTCAGCGTTCAGATTGCTCAGAGCTAGACACAGTTGAGCAGAGAGAGCACAAGGATGGCTACCCCCCGCTTGAATATCTTCAGGATGACATCTGTCTTATTCATTGCAAGAGCATGATGTTGTGAGCTCAGATTTGGCTGCCAGGTCACAATGGCACCCCTTTGACTTGGTTGTTTCCCTCTCACTTGAACTTGTGCAAATGACTATTCTTGCAGAAACACTTTACAGTGTCTTCTCTTCAAACTAATTCACAGCTCACCTCTGTAAATCCCCATCTGACCTATCATAACACTTCCAACCTCTATACTCTTTCTATCTGCAGGTTTAAACAGCGATTTTGTCTCTCCCATGCCAAACAAGCTCTGTTACAGAGCACAAACCTACTGAACATCTTTTCACCCCCATCCAGTGACACATTTCTCTTTCCAGACAGGTTAGATCCCATCACCCCAGCGGCCCATTTAGCCAGGTCTTCCCTATGACAGTACTCAACTAGGCAACATTACAAGCCCTTCTGAAGCTCAGTGATATGATGACACTGCTTCTCCCTTCTCCAAAAGGCTAGCATAAAAGGAAATTAGGTTGGCTTGATAAGACTTGTTCTTGACAAATACATGCTGGATGTTATTCATCTCCTTGTTATCTTTGAGGTACTTAGAAATAATGTATTGATTTATTCTAGGCTCATTTAGGTACAAAAGCAGACCTAATCTAGCTGAGCTGCTTTTGAAGGCAGCTTCTGAGCTTGCCTGCACATCACCTATTGCCTATGAAACCTTCCAGAGGAATTGCTAAGAGCCCCTCATGCATTCCCCTCATAACACGAGGCTAGATTTAGGTATGCCTTCTAGGTCTGCAGACAGGCAGATTACATCATCTTTGTCCTACACCCGCAGGTCTCATCAACACAAACATCCATTGCTTCTTGGTAGAATCTGTTGTTCAGCTACCTTCCCCTTCTCTCTCTCCATTTCTAAGGCATGAACATCCAGAACATCTCCTTCCCATCTAATTCTTGTCCAATTCATGCTCTGACTGATTCTGATCCAACGCTCCCACACTGCTCTGTTACAATCCTCCCTACTAAACTGACCCATTTTCAGGTATGATTCTTCCTGATTTCCAGGTCATTGGAAAGCTCATGAGTCAGGTAAATCGCCTGATATGCTTCCCTCTCTTTCCCCTGTGGTAGGATGATTCGTGTCTGCGGCATTAATACTGACTTTGTTTACATTATTTTTACCCTGTGTAGGGGTGATATCTTATTCCCCTAGGTTCTGTTATATACCCAGGCTAAGCTGAGGAGGAAGATAAATTTCCATAACCAAACCTAAAGTGTGAATGGAAATCTATTGCACCAAGCAAACACTTGGTTCCTGCGCAGACTCTGGTGCCAGGTAAAACCTGCTCCCTACCTGCTTGAGCCAAAGTAACAAGTTGTGTCTCAGATCAAGGCTCCCCTTCTCAATGAAACCAGGGCGTCTCTCCCTTGCTCACTGCAGCTCGATTCATTCCAGACTCCCTGCAGAACTGAGTTTTTTCTGCCTTATACGCTGTGACAGGGTGTGAATTTGTATGAGAGCTGTGCAGTGTGAGGACAGCAGAGCTGGGCTGCGCAATGGCATTGCTGAGAGGGAAGGGAGGGCTGTGGCCGAGGACGCACATGTCCTCGGAGCACAGTGTCCACAGTCTCCAGACAGGCGTGTTGCTTGCCCTTATCTAAAGGCATGCCAGGATAAGTCATCTGTCACAACACTGGTGAGAGCAGCGCTCAGGATGCATGAAGGTTTTGGGGCAGAGGATGGCAGAGCCACGGCCACATGAGCTGCACAGAGATGAAGGGGGGGAGCAAGTGCCGGGGGAAAGGCAGGGATGCCTGCACAAGTTGAGGAGCTGAGAGCCTGCCTGAGCAGTTTGAGGGGCTGATGAGTATGCTAATAGATCAGTGGAGTTATACTCCAAATTGTTTGCAAAGACTCAACATAAAACTATTTTGTTCTTCAGAATGATGCTTACTGGCACATTAAACCTGAACATGCAAGCACATCGCAAAATGAGTTTCTTACTAGGAAGCAAGCAACCGAGTTGAGAGCAAAAGAGCTCAGAGCAAATCAATCATTTTTTTTGGTATTTGTTTTCTGCTGGACCCAATAAAAAACTTCATGTCCTTCTTATGTCCCAGTCAGTGAGACAACAGCTTTGCCACCTGGTGACAGTGCATCTGGCCCTTGGGACAAGGGTCTCCGCAGGGCATACTGGTCTTGTGGTTGAATTAGAGCCATATTGCATGACCCCAAAATAGCACAGTGTGTGACTAGTGCACACCAGTGTTTTAACAGGACCAAAGAACCAAAGGAATCACTCAAGCTTTCCAATCTGTAAAGAAGTTTGCTGACAAGAATGTCATAAAATTTCAACCACCTCTAAAACAACCCCACAGGTAGTATCTCTGCATTGAACCCCACTCAGTTGGTCCCCACCCCTGTCTTCAGCCACCTCAGAGATCTGCACCCTTATCTAGAGATCTGCACTCAGAGGACCTTTCCCTGGACAGGACTTTGCTCTAAAGGGGCAGGCATATGCCATCAGTTCCATCTTTCTCCTTTCAGCACCCAATTCACAGGGATCCAGCCATACCCCCATTCTTTGTTATTGCTTTGTTTCTCATTGCCAGACATGTTTTATTGTTACTTTGATTGTGTAGGAAGGAGTCCAGATATTATGGAAATGAAACCATATAGGGACTGGATGGAAGAGGCCCATGCTGGTTACCCTCTCACTTACACAGCAATGGGAATATTTTCTCTCTTACACTAAGATATTTTTAAAACAGAGAATGCCGTTATTATTTCTTGTCGCCCAGGATCCAGCATTGCCATTCTTGGAAACCAGCACAAAGCCTCCAATGTCATTGTCAGAAACTTTATGAGTAGAGTTTCTGATATCTCCCAAGATGTCCTCAGGCTAAATGGCATTTATGACTTGGAGAGGGCTGACCTTAACTCCAGCCATGCCCAAGACTGCAAAAAAGAGAACATACCCAGTAGTACCAACACAGCGAGGCCATGCACCCAGCATTGCAAACACTGCAGCTGTGAAAGACTGTTAATCAAAGCTCCTCATCTGAGAGTACTGAAGAAACACAGGTGGTTTGGAAGACCAGACTGTGAAGGTTAAGCTAAAACTGTTACCCTATGGTGCTGGAGAACAGGGGAAGGAGCAGAGAGAAGGGATAGAGGTGACTTTTCCCTTGCATGGCAGCGATGTGCGTGTCCTTGCTAGTGAGCACGTGATTTTGTCCCTGGTGTGAGCAATGCTAGTAGAGACACATACAAACTAGATCCAGGCATGGAAGACTGTGCATCGCCTCTGGTAGGCCTGCCTGACAAGGGCAGAGCAACATCACATCCCCCTGTCAGCAGAGAGCTGCCCAATCGTGCTCTGCCTGCAGCATGTGGGATGATGCCTTTGGGCTCAGTCTTTCCGTCTGAGGAGGGTCTGCTTCTGACTCAGTCAGTTGTCTGGCAGGTCCAGCTTCTCCTCTATGTTTGGCTTAGGATAACAGCAGATGTTTCTCTGCCCATCTGCACAGATGCTTGGATGCCGTCTGTGGTCAGCTGTCTGCTTTTTGTTCTGTCACTCTCATTTTAAGCCCACAAATTCAGCCCTGCTGCTGCAAGAATACCAAGTGTCATCCACTGAGTTCAAACCTGAGGGCAAAGTGACAGAGGAAAGAAGTCTATTCCCAAGCTAGATGCACAATTTGAACTGCACTTGCATTAGGATCCCGTGAACTAATGAATTACCTCTCCCTGTTCAAGGATTTGCCACAGAAATGGATTCCACGTGCACAGGAGGGAGAAGGGCGGAAGATGGCTCTGTTGACAAAAACTGAATATCACTGCTGGTGCCAGTGCTGCTGCCAGCAGTGCTCAAACACATGTCAGGGAAAGAAGGGTCTGCAAAGGGGGACAGGACTTCTCCTATCCCCCATTCTTGTCTCCCCAGCAAGGAGCTATGCAGCAGTGCTTCACTCCAAGATAACTTTCCCATGCCAACAGGCTTTGCTAGGGTTGTTGTTTTAATTTTTAAAACAAGCCTAGATCCTGCATTTTAGAAATTACTGCAATGCATTTAATAGGTAGCCTTTTCATAAAGGAGCACAGCGGATGTGTACACAGGCCCTGATGAAGCTAATAACTACCTCTCAATGGCTTTCAGGGAGTTATTACATATTTAAGATCCAAGCTCCCTTAATCAACCACAGAGATGCAGCTGGCAGCAGTAAATTGCCAACAACAGTTCATTACAAATAAGGAAACATTGGTTTTTCAAGGACAAAAACTGTGTCAGTTGTTCAGTGAGAGCTAACCACTCTTGTCCTCACCCTTCTCCCCTGCCCCATTCACCCCCAGTGATATCCTGGAACAACTTCCTTCATCCAATGACACAACTTTGCTGCCTGAGCCCCTCCACAGGAGACATCACCAAATCAAGTTCCTAGATTTCCTGACTTATTTGGGCAAACAGCACAGTTTGCAGCATCCCATGTTCGCCCTGCCCAAGCAAGCTACAGGCAGGACTTTTCCCGCAACACCGTGACGATGTGCGACAGGAGCAGACCCACTGGCTTTTGCTCCAGGGAGCAGAGGACCAGACCAGGCCACGAGACGCTTGGAGACTCAGCTGCATGTATGTGCTTCACAGGCTTGAGACCTGTCTTGGGCACAGAACAGAGAGAAGGTCTGTGAACAACATGTGTTCACACCTCATTTCCTTGATGCCTCCTAACAGAAATGTACAGGGTTGTCCATGCAGTTTAAGAAAAATGCCCAGGGCTGGGAGATACTAAGCCATGGTCAGGAAAGACTAAACGTTGTTTGAATGAAGAGGAGAAAAAGAAAAGACAGCCCTATTATAGCTG